CATCTAACATCAGCTACAATATCTCTAGTTAGAGGTTACAAATACAGTTAAGGTCACTGAGGCAAATTCAAGATGGCATCCACTTCTAAATACAAAAACTGATAGCCTTCTTTTGTATAACAGGATACAAACGTAAAGCCTTGTCTGGCCAACAAAAAACGTCTGGGTTCCAGTCGAATTGCAGTGACTTTGTAGGCTTTCCAAACCTGTAAATCTTAAAACAGAGCAGCTGAAGAGTTGGACCTACTGACCTTTGGGTTAGCAATGAAGTGCTTTACTACTGCGTCACCAGGGCTCCTTCCTGACACCTCCCCAGGCTCTGCAAATAAAGTTGCTACCCGCCCTAAATGAATGCGTGATCCAAGGCAAGACCTTTCTACCCTTCGGACTTCATCTCCCCCAAGAAGTTTATAAGGGGTAGCCTGCCCTAAGTGATCTCCCATCTTGACGTCGTGCCCTCCCCATCTCCCGCCCTCAAGAACCCCCAATGCCAAAGGCAATGATTGGCAGAGTGTGGTGTCCCCCGCCCCTCTCACCTCTAGAGGTAGGCGGGAGAGCAAGAAAAGCTGCAGTGCACAGAGCTCCTGGGAGTCCCATACACCATATGCCCTTCCCTAGCCATTGCCCCTCTGCCTCATTCAGCCTTTCCTCCACCTCCTTCGCAGCTTTCCCCACCCCCTTATTTCGTGGTTCACTTTGCCCACCCTCCAGACCTTATGTGAACTTCAGATTTCCTCCCAATGAGAGGACTACTGATGCCTCCACACACCCACCACACACGAACACACACCCCTAAACTACCTTGGCCTTGCATTTGTAACTTTGTGCATGACCCCCTATCATGCCCCTGCCACCTTCCGGGCATCTCTTTCCACGTGTCTGTATCGGGTTTGTCCCTCTGTCTTTCAAGCCAGGACTGGCTTCCTGTCCAGTGTCACACACTCCACCTTCGATAGCTCTGCAGAGCTTCAGGTCCTGCCTCGTTAGTTTTTTTCCAGTCTGTCTCTTTCAAGACAGTACTTCTAAAACCCTTTAGGACCCCTTCATGTGCCCGTATTCGCATGTCTGTCCCTCTGCGCCCTCGCCCGTTTGCACTTCAGTCGGGGCCCTGAATGACATCCCTCAGTTCCCGGGAACTGGCCCTACAGTCTAGTCAAGATTCAGTGGACCATCCTTGCTCAGGATCAGAGAGTCTTGGGCCCGATCCTCCTCCCTCACCAGTAACTCTTCCCTCTTCCACTTTCTCTACTTTGAACCCATCCCAGCAGAGTCCAGGAAGTAGCAAGGCGCCGGGAACTGGCGACAGTTGAGCCCAATGGAAAGAGCCAGCGGCGGCGGCGGCTCCGCCCAGAGAGCAAGAGCGGCCAATGAGAACGCAGAGGCGGAACTTCCGCTGTTCCTCGGAGGGCGGGGGACAGCGGGCGGGGGGGAGAGAACTGTTGTGGTGCGGAGCGTTGGGCGGGCGGCGGCTGGCGGCCCAAGGGCTGCCGCTGGACTCGGGGCGCAGCAGAGCGGCTGCAGGGGTGGAGCGGGCGGGACGGGCCGCGGAGCCCGGGCGCCGCGGGTTCGAGGCCGGGTTCCGCGCTGGGAGGCCGAGGCATCCCCGGAGGAGAGCTACCCTGCAGCGAGTTTGCCCCGCAGCCGAAAGAAGGCGGGAGCCGCTGGGGGCCCTCGGAACCCTCTGGCCACCTGAGCTCCGAGTCCCCCGGGAGCGGCTGCTTCCTGGTGCGCCCTCTCGGACGTCTCTGTCGGAGAGGGACGGTTCTGGGGCCCCGGCAGGAGACGCCTCCGGGTGACCCCCGGCGGGGCCCTGCGAGCCGGGGGAGACGGCCCCGGGGCCTCGGGCGGGAGGCAGGGGGCTTCCGGAGCCG